TGGTGCTGGGGGATTGAACCGTGGTCCCTGTGCTTTGCTAAGCTTGTTCTAAGTAGGTGCTTTAGACCACTGAGCCATCTCACCAGCCCGATAAATTTGACTACATAGAAATTTTAAACTTTTACTGTGGCCACAGATATTATAAACAAAGCTAAGAAACAAATGGTGGAACCAGCAAAATGTCATTATAAAGGACAGAGCCCCAGACATGAGATTGGAACAGTACCTTAAATTATAATAAACATTGTTGTAAGATTGAGTTCCCAGGACAACTATTGTCATTTCCATTTCAACCAACAGTAGATGACAAGATCTGTATCATTATTGGCACTTGCTATTATTAGTCTTTTTAAATTTGCCAGTCCAATATATGTGACTATCTCTTGTTAATTTTATCTTTATATATAAATACATTTGAGCACCTGCTCATTCAGTCTAGTCACTTGAGGGAGCTTCTGCTGCCCCTTTAGGGACACTGGCCATTTTGTTGCAGCATCTGTGAGAGCTCTTTGTTGCTAAAACATTAACCTCAGTCCGTTATAATGACATTTTGCTGGTTCCACCATTTGTTTCTTAGCTTTGTTTATAATATCTGTGGCCACAGTAAAAGTTTAAAATTTCTATATAGTCAAATTTATCTCTCTTTTATACCTTTTGGGCTTCCAGTGTTGTTTAAGAAAGTAGATGCCTGTAATCCCAGCACTTGGGAGGCTGAGACAGGAGGATTGCCATGAGTTTGAGGCCATCCTTAGCTGCACAATGAGTTCTAAATTGTGCCTGAATTACCAGGCAAGACCTCATCTCAAAAAAGAGAGAAAAAAAAAGGTCATCACACCCTCAGATTGCACATGTAGTCTCCTAAATTCTCTTTTAGGATTGGTGTGGTTTTAACTCCTCATATTCATGGGTTCAATGCCCAGCACAACCAAAAAAAAAGTCTTTGTTACAAAAAAATGCAAAATAGATTAAATATTCTTATTTTTTCTTGTACAAGGGATTATGCCCAGGGCTTAATGCTTTTTTTTTTTTTAATGTATTTGGTTGTTGCAGGGTCTCACTGCACAGCTCAGACTCATGCTGATTCCCCTGCTCTCAGCCTCCCCAGCGCTGGGATTACAGGCATGCATCACTACGCCTGGACTCTGAGGGCAGGACTGGCAGGGCACGTGGTGCCAGGATCAAACCTCGGTCCCTGTGCTTGCCTAAGCTTGCCTAAGCAGGCTCTTTAGTCTGCTGAGCTATCTCGCCGGCCCCTTCATGCATTCTAAGTGTGTGTTCTGTCACTGAGCTATACTCTTGGCCCCAGTTCTTTCATCTTTACCCCAGAATGAAAGTACCACCTTCATTATATATTATATTCTCATACTTAAAATTTTTAACACTTTAAAAAGACAAAAGAGGTCCTGGAATTTAGCTCAGTGGCACAGCACCTGCCTGGCAAGCATAAGTCCCTGAGTTCAAGTCCTGGTACCAAAAAAAAAAAAAAGACAAAGAGCTAGGTCTGTAGCTTAGTGGTAGAGCACTTGCTTGGAATGCAATCCTCAGCATCACAATAAATAGATAAACACACATAAAAGGACCAACACCAGTATATCTCATGTGATGTCCTGCCTGATGGCAGCGGGATGAACATGAGTCCTTTTATTTTGCCCCTTCTTCTGTCTTAGGTGCTGCTGGCTGATGAGGGCATAGTCCCTCTTCCTGCATCTGGACCAGTGAAAGAGGAGAAACCCCTGCTGGGAGAAGAGTTGTTGCCTTTGCTTCCGGTTCAGTCTATTAAGGAGGAAGAAACCCAGCCTGGGGAAGACATGCTCCCGTTAGAGAGACCCATCAAAGTGGAGAGCCCTCCCTTGGAGGAGTGGCCCTCTCCATGCCTGTCTTTCAAAGAAGAGGCATCTCACTCCTGGGAAGATTCATCCTGCTCTCCCACCCCAAGGCCCAAGAAGTCCTACAGTGAGCTCAAGTCCCCAGCACAACGTATCTCAGAAATGCTCGTGATTAAACGAAGGGAGAGAAGGGAGATGAGCCGGTCTCGAAGGAAACAGCACCTGTTGCCTCCCTCTGTGGATGAACCCGAGCTCGTCTTCTCGGAGGGCCCCAGCTCATCTGGACAAGCTGCAGAGCCCCCTGTCCTGGAAGAGTCCACAGAGCCTGCCCTGCAGCTTGGCTGCCCCCAGCAGGAAGGTGGACCTTTCAAGACGCCCATTAAGGAGATGCTGCCCATCTCCTCCACCCCGAGTAAATCTCTCCTCCCCCAAACCCTTGAATCCTGGAGGCTCACACCTCCTGCCAAAGTGAGGGGGCTGGATTTCAGCCCGGTACAACCCCCCCAAGGTACCTTTGGCCCCCTGCCTGACTCCCTGGGACTGATGGATCTGAGCACCACGCCACTGAAAAGCATTCCCCTCTTTGACTCACCCCGAGAGCTCCTCAATTCCGAACCCTTTGACCTGGCCTCTGACCCCTTTAGCAGCTCTTGCCCCTCAGATCTGGAAGTCCCCAAGCCAGGCTCTCCAGAACCACAGGTTCCCAGCCTTGCAGCCAACCGCTCTCTGACAGAAGGCCTGGTTCTAGACACAATGAATGATAGCCTGAGCAAGATCCTGTTGGACATCAGCTTCCCTGGCCTGGAGGAGGACCCCCTCGGCCCTGACAACATCAACTGGTCTCAGTTCATTCCTGAACTACAGTAGAGGCCCCTTGACCCTTACACTCAAGCTACACAGTTTCAGGCACTCGTATGGCTGGGCAGTCCCAAGCTCCGTGCATACCACATCCTCTGAGGACTGCTGGCAGGGACTCCACCAGCTTGGTGATGCACAGGCAGCAGTCACCCCAGCCACTGCTGGGTTTTGGCAAGAGTAGGGTGTGCAGCTGTTCTCTGGGGAGAGATTCCTCTGCTCTCCCTGCCTGAGCTGAAGGGCAGCGATGCAAAAGCAATGGAGGAAGGGATTAAGAATTCCTCACATCATTTCCATTCTGTGTCCTATAGTCTTGCTTGCCCTGCTTGCAGGGTGGTCTTGGTAAGTAGTACAGATTCTCCAAATTACTCTTTATTAATGAAAGTTTGAGGTAGGTAGGATGAGAGGGAGTTGCAGTTTGCTTCTCTCCCTTGCTTTGTAGAAGGAGAAGGGAAACCTGCAGTGCATGGTTTCTTCCAGGCCCAAGAGTTCTTTATCGTGCGCAGCTGGACATTTCCCCCAGACACGTCTGCTTGGCAGGGTCCCTCAGACAGACTCCTCCTTCCCACCTCCCAGTGTTTTCAGGTCAGCTTTCCTACAAGAAGAAATCTGGTTTAAAAGGTCTTGTATTGAGTCGAGAATTGAATTTGGAGATGGAATGGATGCATCCGAAGCAGAATGGTACCCAGATGTGCCACTAAGTACCTTTCTCTGATAATGTCCCTAATCATGCCAGGGAGACCAGAATGGATGAGGACTCAGGTGGAGGATTGAGAAGGCAGAAAAGACCCCTCAACTTGCCTGGTGTCCTTAGTTTGTAATGCAGTTTTGCAAAGAACAACCCTAGGCTCTAGCTGGCTGCCTGTGCGAGCCAGCCCAAGAACACTACCACAACTACCTACTGAATAAAATCTGGGGTGGAACAGCTGGTCTCTGCTCTGTCAGTCTGGAGGGGATGGAGAGGATTGATGATTGAGACTGATAACAGGAAGAGGTAGGGCCTGCAGCTGCCCATGGGAACAACTGAAAGAGTGTGCCAGAGCTGGCACATGGATCCCCTCACTCCTGGGAATTGAACTTGGGGCCCATGCACTGAGCCACTACAACAGCCTTCTACTTTGAGACAGGGTCTTGCCAACTTGCCCAGGTGAGCTTTGAACTGCCTTAGCCTGCCAATATGTGGGGATCACAGGCATGTACCACAGTGCCTGGCTCTCCCCCTGCCACTTCTGATGCTGGAATTGCTGATTTTCTCAGCACTGTCCTGCACATCCCACCCTTCTTTGTCATCCCAGCTTTGTTCCTTGGGATCTCTGGAGCATTAGAGAAGGGGGAGCCCTGTTGCAGGGGACTTAGTACATCTACCAGGAGTCCTGCTCTGCTTTTCTCCTCCCTGAACATTCTTGCAGGTCACTTTAGAAGCAGCTTCTGTTACCTTATTTTGTAGCCAGAACTGACAAGAGTCATCACTTGTCTCTGGAAAGGTAGACAGGGGCTCCAGGGACTGAAGAGCCTCAGGTGTCAGGCAAGCACCTCCTCCCTACTTTAGCTGCCAGGAAATGTCACCATAGCAACTCTAGTGACAAACAATGGTTTTTGCCTGACCAGCACCTCACAAAGTTGTCCCTCCTGGCTCTAAGCCCAGAAGAATGGCCAGTAACCCGCCAAGATCACTCCGAGGGCCAGGTGATCCATGTCGCAGAGAACCTCTCCTGCAGGTAGTCCACCTTTTCTTCTGACACTGGCTCTCGGGGTAGTAGGTCTGTGGGTATAAATTCTGTTCTTAGCCCTACAGCCTGGAAGTAGAGCTCAGATGTAAGGAGATGTCTAATTGGAGGCTTTACCTCTTCCTCTTACTGTTTACCTTAAATGCTTGGTACAGGACATTTTTAGGATTTTTTTTTTTTCCACCCCTCCCCGGAATGGGGAATTGAATTCAGGCCCTTGCACTTGCCAGGGAAGCACTTATTCTACTGAACCATCTCCCCAGCCCCTTAGGATTTGGGATATTTTTTGATCTGGGGATGTTTGCATATACATAATGAAGGAGATATCTTGGGAACAGGACCCAAGTCTATACACATTCAGTGTGTCATATCTCATGTGCCTAGCCTTCCAATCATGTTAGCATTTTTAGTGTGCCTATATTTAATTAACCACTCACTTGTATGGCACTTTCTACCTGTTATGCCATGTAATGCTCAGAAAAATTCTGATATTGAGCATTTGGGATTTTCAGATTAGGGATGTTCAACCTGTAACACAGCTCCCCGGCCCATTTGTAGAAATGACTCAGGCAACAAGGCTCCAACTATAGGGAGACTGGGCTGGTGGCACACACCTGTGATCCCAGCCCTCAGGAGGCTGAAATGATTGCACAGTTCTAGGCTAGCTGGGGCTACACAGGTCAGTGCCAGCCTGAGGTGGGAGCAGGGGTTAGAATCCCCAGGATAAATGGGAGAGTAACATTTAAAAGACATTTTGTCCTGGCCAGGCCACATGCTAAGCCTGTGCTCTGCAAGGCTGTCTCACACCAGGTCCCAGTCTGCCACTTATTGTGACACAATTTCCCTTTAGCACGTGGCTTTAGAGATTTCTGTCTGTGTTCATTTGGTGTGGGCCTGTGGTGGCCCAGGACATGATGGTGGGAGCACGTGGTAGGGGAGGCCTGTGACCTCTCAGCTAGGAAGCAGAGACAATTGGGTAGGGTCCCAGGGTCAGCTCCAAGACCACTGCCAGTGACCTCACTTCCATCAACTAAGCCCCGCCTCCTAAAAGTGTCACTGCCATTCACAGTGCCATAGGCTGGTGACCAAGCTATGAAATATGGGCTTTGAGGGACACTTACAAGCCATAGCAGGGACAGTAACAAGACTCATTCGTAGAGTTATGAGGGTTGAACAGGGCGTGTGTAAGCAAGAATCAGGCAATGCTGACACATTTGCTACTGTTTATATTCTGGTGGGGAGAGCACAGCAAAGGGAATGAGCTAACATTGCAGATGCTTGTTTGCTTGCTTTCTATGCTATTGATGCTTTCTATATTTGCATTTTATTTTTAATTAAAAAATGTTTTGAGACAGGGTTTCACTTTGTAGTTCATGCTGGCCTTGAACTGACACTCAGTCTGACATCAAACTCTTGGCAATCCTGTCTCAGCTTCTTGAGTGCTGAGATTACAGGTGTGGGCCACCATGCCCAATCACACTTTATGAAAAGAGGTGGTGGTGCATGCTTGTAATCTCAGCAGTCTAGGAGGTGAGGTAAGGGGATCCAAAATTGGAGCCCAGAATAGGCAACTAGACAAGATTCTGTCTCAAAATTTAAAAACAAAAACAAACATGGAAAGGGCTGGGGATAAAAACTCATTGCAGAGGTCCTGGCAATCATCAATGCC